CCTAAATCCCATACATTGTTTCGATCGACCGCTCATGCGTGCTTTATAATTATCTGTTAGGCCTACCTTTTAATTAATAATATATATATAGGAAACATTATGCATCATTGTTTAAAGAAAAAGAACGATTAATATTAAATCTGGTTTAAAAATTTATACAAACCTATTTCATGAAGAACAATTTCATGATAACCACATCCAAGTCCAAGAGAAATCCCTTGGCTTTGTCCACTCCGACCAATTGACGAGAAGCAGCTACATTAATTTGTTTAAATTCAGTGAATGAATTACGTCATGCAGAGGTGTGAATTCGGAAATTAAGATTGAAGTGCAAAGTTTGAGATGTTATACATGTCGAGTATCAGTGCATGGTCATATGCATCCAACAGGGACCGCGGAGACGGGGGGGCTGGGGGGGCTTTAGCCCCCCCACTTTTTTTGACAGCCAAAATTATTAAAATAGAAATCTAAATGAAACTTTCTAAATTAATTAATTGGGGGTTTTATTGATGATTTAGCCCCCCCACTCTCTAATACGCTCCGCGGGCCCTGTCCAAGTTTTTAGTTTTGCCTTTTAGATTTTAAGATGATTTAATTAATTATAAATAAAGATTTATTTTAGTAATACTAGATTAATAATTCGAAATTTTAAAGAGTCTTATGAGTTATGAGGGATTATTTAATCATGAGCGGAAACAACTGAAAATTTATCGCAAATTCGACTGCGTGAATCTAGTCACGTGATCGCTGTTTGTTGTTTGAAAAACACGTCATATCACAAAAATTTTCGGGTTTTATTATGATTTGAAAATCCCTACACTCAATAGAAGTAAACTCTTTACGTCATTACTTATTATGTCACAAATCCCTCCTTGACTCGGGAGCTCCATTCTCATGAATCGTTAGCGAATAGCCTTTCATCTTGAATCATGAGAGCGTGCTAGGTTTCCAGGTCAAGGCAGTATTTCTGGAGTAGTTATATAGAGAGCTCGTTAAGCAAGCGTCTTTTTTGACAACACGTACATGACGCCATTGATCACGCAGCTGTCCTGAAGAAATGTGTTGTTATCATAGAAAGGGTGCAGGAGTGCATTCAGATTTTCTCTGCCGCATTTAAACAAACAGACATGCAGTTATATAAACAAACGATTAACGTCAAGATGTGACATTATTTGGTATTTGCCATCGGTTACATTGTAACTGCCTCGTCCCTCGTCGCTTCAGTTGGGAATAGAGATCAGCCGAAAAACAATGAGAGCGCGGGGCTTAATGGGAAACTGAATTTCACAATTCCGGTTACTGATGTTGTTGCTCTTACCCTGAATCATTGTAAAAGTGCAGATAATTTTCCTGGGTAGTTCGTTGTACAAAATTCAAACAAGGAACTTTCTTCATCCATTCACTTATCGCGCTGTTGATTACAGATTTGTACGATAACCCTGAAAATTTATGAAAATGAAGACATAATGCTGCGTACAATATTATCATACAACAGGTGGTTTGCCAACATCAATTAACTTTTCAATATACTTACTTTCAATTTATTTCTCTGTATTGGATTTTAGTATTAAAATATGTGATTTGATTTCGCTTAATTTAAAAGCCGTTTGTAAAAAATAACATTATGGCAATTATGTGGCGAGTCTTTTAAAATAAATCATGGATGCACAAACTGTCTCCAACTTTTGTGTTGAACCTCGATGCCGATGGAATGAAGCCCTTTCCCATTCATCGCAAAAGTCAACTCGCACGGTCATGACCACGAGTGCTTGCATCCGGCAATCACAATGCTCGACAGTTTATTTTAATTAGATGCAAGCACTCGCAGCGAGCTTGCGTAGTTTGCGTGTTGATTTTCGCGATTCCTTCTTCTATTAACTGTGGTCAGAAATAGAGCCTTAATTTACGATGTCAATGGGAGATCCACGCAGTACGAGTGTACGACAATTTCCTAACAAAAATTACCATTATCAATCACGTAAGGCACTTCACGCTTTCCATTAACTACAGGCCACAGCCATATGCCAGTATATTCGGTTGAACGACGATGACGACTAATTCGGCCATCATTGATGGACTTTGGCGGCATAACGATGTCACCTTCAACCAGCTTTTGCTTGAGAGTTCGTTTGGATCCTTTTAATGAAGATAATTTAAAAATAATGATTTACGTCATGCATCTATATAGACGCATTTCATGTCTTTTGCTGAGACAGAGTCAGAGAGCTCGAATTTTCATATCCACTGTCGCAAGGCCATTATTAAAATATCTCGCTTATCAGCATGCATCGACTATTTATTTATTATTTTTAGGGGTGTGTGTGTGGGGAGGGTGTAACACCCCAGCTTTTCAAAATTGGTCGAAAGTCAGTCCTGAAAAATGCATATTATAGATAACCAGTTCGGTCCCAGGTTCCCGAACATCCGATATACAAGATAGATATATTTATATAATTATAAATTATAAATTAAAGTTTTTCATCGTTTTTTTATCATATTTATATATAAATATAATAGCATTGAACAGCGTATTTTGATTTTTGAAATTTGACCGGCATTTTCCCGGTGCAAAGTGCATTGAGACAGACTGGACATTATCTTTTAACTAATATGCTCTCATATGCATTCTGACCCGGCGGCTGGCACATCAAACACGCAGTCGTTAAATCAAGAAAATAGTGGATTGTAAAATCAAGAAAATACTGGATAGTTGGCACTAAGGTCTAAGAAGACTAGTAAAGACTGAGAAAGCGTCAACGGTTCTGAAATTCATTCTAGGTATCAGGTATGTTCCGTATACTTATGCTGAATTGGCCATATTTTAATTTTGGGATAGGTCAGGACCTCTACATGCGTGTCGGTTTCAACCCGGGTCAGCACGCCACAGGTGGTTATTTTTTATTCGGTTTACATGTACCCGGGTTGACGAAAATGTTTGCCGACCCGAGTCAGCAATTTCATTTCACAAACCTCCATAAGATATAATAGCGTATTCTCCCCGGCTTCCGGTTAATTCAAGCTCTTCAAAGTCATAACGAGACCCCCAAAAGACTCGTTCCCATGCTTCCCCTTCCTTCTCCAAAATGGCTTCTCGTTAGCTCGCGGCACGTCTCTCGTCCCTGCGTTGTCCTTGAACGTTGTAGACGCCGTAGCGACGGTTGAAGACAACGAGTTGACACCTTCGCCCACTGGGTTGAAAGGTAAACAACGTGCTACAAAACGGAGGCATTCTGAGACCTCTAGTAGTTCTAAAAGCTCTAGTAGCTCTTCGTCATCGAGTTCTAGCGATAACAGCGACTCAGACGAATCTGCTAGCAGTAAAGATGGTGACTACAAACGTCGCAAGAAGCGTGAATCTTCACCAGAGCGAAAGGCAACGCCAAAGACTCAAGCAACGCGAAGGTACACTTCACCGGACCCCGGGTCTGACGTTGATGTTTACGTGCGCTTTGTATAGGTAATAGCATGGTTTCGAGTGCAATTTGGATATAACATGCACGAGTGAGTTTTTCAAAGACCTCAAAATAGCACGAGTCCGAAGGACGAGTGCTATTTGAGGTCTTTGAAAAACTCACGAGTGCATGTTTATCCAAATTTCACGAGAATCCATGCTATTACTTATTAATAATTTACATAAAAATGTTCGAGACAATTGTAGTTTTAACTTACGCGTTTATAGCGAACATTCCACTGGCAAAGTTTTCCTGGCTTTGTTTTATCACATTATACAACGCTAACAGCTTGAAAATTCCACTCAACTGTGTATTTTTTGTTAGTCTTGTTTAAGCCGTAAATAAATGCTTTTCCATTTAAAAATAAAGATAAAAGCCACTATTTTCCACGCGAAGGCAACTTTTAGGGGCCGATTACATGGAGCATTTTCAACCCCAGGGTTGAACTCAGCTCTGTTTACCGGGTTGAAATTTCAGCCCTGTCTGTAATACAAAACTCTATCAAAATCAAACGCGCGATTACATGACAAAATTTTCAACCCAGGGCTGAGTTCAACCCCGGTTCAACCCTGCTTCAGCTAGCAGGGTTGAAATTTCAACCCCGGGATTGAACTCAGCCCTGGCTTGAAAATTTTGTCATGTAATCGTTTCAACCCAGGGCTGAAATTATATTGAGTTATTCGAGCATGCGTGGTAGTGACTATTTATTACAAGAAAACAAAATAAAGGCTTTTTACTTCCGCGAATCGATGCCGAGAACGTATAGTATAACGTTTTAACCCCGGGGTTGAAATCGTCCATGTAATCGCAAAAAATTTCAACCCGGTTAACAGGGCTGAGTTCAACCCCGGGGTTGAAAATGCTCCATGTAATCGGCCCCTTACTTTGTGTAGCGCGGCGCCATGTTTGTTTTGTTTTGAAGCAATCTGTGACCGTTACTTTTTTAAAACTAAACTGCCTTAAACTGATTGGTTGATTTAATCACAGAATAGATACAGGACCAGAAGTGTCACTCAGACGATACTTTGTCCGAAATTTAACGAGTGCTGACGTGAAAATACGCCATCATATGACGCCATCCTGGAGTGCACACGGAAGTTTTTCATAGGAAAACATAGGTACAAAGTGCCGGGTGCACTCCAGGATGGCGTCATAGCACGCAAAAAAAATTTCGGACGTTTTCCTTCAGCCAAAACAAATAGGAGTGACACTTCTGGTCCGGTATCTATTCTGTGATTTAATCATCACAATGTTTTTCCACCAATCAGATCAGTTTGTTACAGATTTTTGCACTGTGATTACAGAAAATTGCACTGTGATTACAAAAAATTGCACTGTGATTACAGAAAATTGCACTGTGATTACAGAAAATTGCACTGCTGTTTGGGATTAACAGCACTGAAATCAACCAATCACAGTCGAGTAATATCTTTATGTATATTATTAGACACGGGTAACACAACTTGTGAAAAATTGGTTTTACCAAAAGACATGGTGAAGTACTTAAATAAATACGCAAATAAATTTACATCCTATGTTCCAGACAAGGATATTCAGGAAACAGTACTTGATGCAAACCCTGTGCCGAATATTCAATGCCTTCAAATCCCAAAGATTGATGATTATCTTAGGGAAATATTTGAAACTATGGGCAAATCTTACGGCAAAGAGTCGGATAATAGCCTTGTGAAAGTGCAATCTCGGGTTTCTAATGTTATGGGACCCCTCGGCAAGCTGTGGCTTGCACTGGAGGAGGTCAGAACTCGTAAATCCGATACACAACTTGACCTGTATGCATGCTTAAAACTGGTTGAGCAGTCTATTACATTGCTTGGACAAGCCCATGTAAATTTGTTATATACACGACGATTGGGAGTTCTTTCCCGCCTAACAGGGGAAATGAAAAGGCTAAAAGCTTGCTTAAGAAGCATCAGACGTCATTAGCAAAGCCTCATAAAACCTTGTTTGGCAAAAAGTTCTACAAGGATCTCCACAAGGCCACACAATTTAGAAAGTCTTCAAAAGAGATTTCTCACCATATTACTGGCCCCCCTCACCAGAAAATTCAAAAGAATGGTGCCAATAGAAATGTTGTCATGAAATACCAACCCTTTCGCCAAGGGCCCTCATTTCAGAGCATTTCAGAGGTTGGGGCCGACCTACTCAGTTCCGGGGTAGAGGAAGTGGCTACAGAGGCAGTGGTTACAGAGGAGACAAAGGATATCCTTTTAAAGGCAAGTCCTTGCTCATTACATTCGAGGTCAAGCGGAAATCACCCGAATCACACCTGTCACCTCTCAGACCAGGTTCTGGGCATTCCACAACAGACAGTTCAGCTGAACACCCATCCTGCCTTGAAAAATCTAGGGCTAGATACATCAATTTCACACTTGCCTCTCCCCCTGGCAGGGAGACCCGGTATTTCCAGAAAAATTGGGAATGTCTAACTGGGGATCAGTTTATTCTGCAGATAGTCTCGGGGGTCAAAATACCATTTCTTGAAACCCCTGTTCAAAACAGACATCCAGTTGTGGGGACACTCATACCCAGTTAGAAAAGGAAAAAAATCACGCAGGAAGTTGTGGCAATGCTGCAGAAGGGAGCGATTCAGGTGGTCTCTCCACGCAAAGAGGACTTTCTCAGTCCAGTATTTTTAGTACCGAAGAAGGATGGGGGAAGCAGGCCTGTGATCAATTTGAAAGAGTTGAATTCACACATCGTATACAAGCACTTCAAAATGGAGGGTCTGCACCTCCTCAAACAACTTGTTCAGAACAAGGATTACATGATCAAAATCGATCTCAAGGATGCTTATTTTTCAGTACCCATGAGCAAACAGCATCGACGTTTCCTAATGTTCACCTGGGGGAAGAACTGTATCAATTCACTTGCCTTCCCTTTGGATTAGCACCAGCGACTCACAAAACTGTTGAAGCCAGTAGTGTCGCTTTTGCGTCGCCTGGGTTTGAGAATAATAATTTATCTAGACGACATAATTGTTTTGAACCAAACTCAGGAAGGCATATTAAGGGATAGGGACTCAGTCCTGTGGCTTCTGCAGAACTTGGGTTTTGTGATCAACTGGGAAAAGTCAGTGCTACAACACTCCCATACCATGGAGTATCTAGGATTTGTGATAAATTCTCTAGAGATGAAGCTGTCATTACCAGAAACCAAAATGAATCATCTTGTGCAATCTTGCCGAGATCTGATTCAACAACAGGTGTCCTCGGTCAGAACAATAACAAAGGTGATAGGAAAGCTGACATCCTCCATGCAGGCAGTTTTCCCAGCACCCTTGCACTATCGACACCTGCAACGGTTACAAATCAAAGGTCTGTTGACGGGAAAATCCTACGAGAGGATGGTCTCATTCGATCAGAACTGTCGCAACGACCTTCAATGGTGGATCGATCAGATCTCCATCTGAAATGGTCGAGTAATAATTGCTCCTGCCCCAGATCTGGTGATAACAACAGATGCATCAATGAGGGGCTGGGGCGCAGTTTGTCAAGGGGTTCATACAAGGGGATTGTGGACTCCTCAAGAGGCCACCTCCCTTCATATCAATGCCCTAGAACTAAAGGCAGCCTTTTTTGCAGTGAGGGCCTTCACTGCAAAGAAAACCCAGTTACATGTTCATTTAAGAATGGACAACAAAACAGCTATTACCTATATACTCAAAATGGGGGGTACACGGTCTCCAATCCTACTGCGCATTGCCCAAGAATTGTGGGATTATGCCCTACAAAATCAAATTTCCCTAACAGCAGAGTATTTACCGGGGGAATCCAATCACGAAGCCGATTGGGAATCTCGACATTATCAGGATTCGAGCGACTGGAAATTGAATCCCCATGTGTTTCAAACACTGAACACCCAGTGGGGACCCTTAGAAATAGATCTGTTTGCCAACCGACTCAACACCCAACTGAAGAGTTTTGTGAGCTGGTTCCCAGACCCATTTTCCACAGCAACAGATGCTTTTCAGATCCCTTGGTCGGATCTGAAGGGGTATTGCTTTCCACCCTTCTCTCTGATTTGCCGTTGCTTGGCAAATGTCAGGAAGGACATGGCAACCATTGTTATGGTCACACCAGCTTGGCCAACACAGGCATGGTACCCAGTTCTACTGGAAATGTCCTGCAGACAACCCATTTTACTGCCTCCTCTCAAGGACTTGCTAACATCACCCAGACAGCAAGTACATCCTCTTGCGCAACAAGGCAGTCTGCAGTTAGCTGCCCGGATGGTTTTTGGAAAACCATACTTGCAGAAGGAGTTTCAGAACAAACTGTCCAGCTACTTAGCACCCACTCCTGGCGCAAATGCACTACAGCCGCTTACAATAGTGCCTGGTCACAGTGGTGTAGCTGGTGTACTGAAAGACAAATTGATCCGTTTTGCTCCACTGTGGCCGCTGTAGCTGACTATTTAACTACCATGTTTGAAAAAGGTAGATGCTATCGCACAATTAATAATCATAGGTCAGCAATTTCTGCCTATCATAAGACTGTTGATGGACGGAAAGTCGGGCAACACGAGTTGGTTTGTCAGGTGTTGAATGCATGTTTTAATGCCAGACCACCACAACCAAAGTACGCTAGGATGTGGGATGTTGATGTAGTGCTTACTTATATATGCTCTTTGGGGTGTAACAGTAACTTGTCAGACAAACAACTGACATTTAAAGTAAGCATGTTATTGGCCCTTGCATCAGCAGGTCGTTCATCTGAGCTTCGAGCTCTTGATCTGAGATTCATGACAATGACTGACAGCAGCATTATTTTTGAGCTTGGTCGACTAACAAAGTCACGGAAAAAAGGGCAAAAACCAATCAAGCTGATATTTAATTCCTTCCAGTCGGACCCTTTGTTATGTGTAGTGTCAGCCATTACCTCCTATGTGGATCGTACAAAAAGGTGGCGTTCTGTATTAGCTCAGACCCAGTTATTGCTAAGCTTTGTTGAGCCCCATAAGGAGGTGGTGCCCTGTACAATTGCAGGCTGGTTGGTAGGACTGATGAGTGAAGCAGGTGTGAACACCTCTGAATTTAGTGCACACTCTACCAGGGGTGCCTCTACTTCTAAAGCCAAGGCTAAAGGCCCCTCGTGTCAGGAAATCATGAATAAAGCTAAGTGGAAGAAGGAATCCACTTTCAAAAGGCACTATTTGAGGGATGTAACTGCTGAGGCAACAGTTGGGCAGGATGGTTTCCAGGAAACAGTATTCCAAACAGGTCGGAATGCTTTGAACATACGCTATTATATCTTATGGAGGTTTGTGAAATGAAATTGGAAATTTCATCAGTGCGCGAAGCGCACGCATTGAAATTATAATTTCATGAGCAAACCGAAATAAGATATAATAGCGTCCCTCCCTGCCACTCCCAATTTCCTATTATTTAATATCAATCTTATTTCGGTTTGCTTTGCTACTCTAGGTGCTAAAGGCAACTGAGGAGTGAAGTGACGATGTCCAGATTCTTGTGAAATGTTATAACTATGTTATGAACTATGTTAAGTACATGTTAAAGTACATGTTAAAGTTTACATTACGTGTTTGAGATATTGATGTTTATACACGGTGTATTACAACAGTGTAACAATATTATAAACGGTATAATAAATTAAAGGTTCCTGTTTTAGATTGTGACTCGTTTGTTTTGAATTAACCGGAAGCCGGGGAGAATACGCTATTATATCTTATTTCGGTTTGCTCATGAAATTATAATTTCAATGCGTGCGCTTCGCGCACTGATGAAATTTCCAATTCTTACCCTGGTGTATGTACTCGAATAAATGCGTGTAAAGATGTCACCTTTCAAATATCGCCATAAACTAATGAACAAGAATAGTGGCGTCAGCAGTTGTTTTCATGTAAATATAGAAAGAACTTTTAGCGTACAAGGAACTTTTGGCTTTCACTCTAAACGCCAAAATTATCTGCTTTTATTTTGAGACTAACAGTATAAGAATAACGGTTTCATATATCTGCAGCATGCACGACTTAATTTTTTTTAACAACTTTATTCCACCACAGTGTAACACTAACATAAACTATTCAATGGCCCAAAAGAGAAGATGCAAACGAGTCGATAAGTCCCCATGCAAGGCACCTCCCTTAACAATTACTGTAAAATAGAACACTATATACTGTATACTGTAAAGCACGAATACTAGTTATAACGTAGAGCAGAGCTTACTCACGTCTCGTTTACATACTATTTATTAACTATTAGGTTTTGGAGTTTGATCTATCAGACATCAGAATTGTGGAGCAAAAAACTCTGGAAGATACTGGGTCGTTGAAAGAGAGAAATTGTGGCGTAGCACCAAACTGTATGAACGAACTTGATTCATGTCACTTCGTCTACAAGAAGAACTTTAAACATTTCAGGGACGAGAGAATATTGTCCGCTATTGTCAAAATATGTTGTTACTTGGGTAGTCATGGGAATGTTGTACTACTTTTGGATCATTTATTGGATATGTTCAGGTCTTCGTCAGCGAACAGAAAGCAAGTTATTTTCTTGATCAACGAAATTGTGCGTGGATCTGTAAGAAATTTGGATGAAGATGTTTCAATTCTCGAAGGTGCGTTAATGAATGCTACAGAGTTTTTTATGCAATTTATATCAAAATTAGATGGTGTACTACCTCAGGTATGGATAAAATGAGGCCGTACTTCTGTACCTTGCCACCATGCCTGGAACATAACCCTAATTTCATTTCTGCATTCCTCGTCCCCTTGACGAGTGAAACCGTCTGTTGGCGTTAGAGTAAAATAATAAAGTAGGGCGCATCAGTGCGCATTGCCAGTTAAAGAATTAGTCCGGGCAAGAACATCTCACAGGACCTGCATTTTAGGGACTCTACACCTACCCTACATTTATAGCATTGGCGAACACTGCGGGGGGAGGGGGAGGGGGGATGAGGAGACGCCACTCCCAAGCTTTAGAACTGTAACTAATAATATTTTTTCAGCCATGATAGCAACTTGTTGCAAATTAACAATAGTTGAGCCAAAATGGTTTTGACAAATAAAATTTGCTACCAACCGAAGGATGGAAATATACTAGAAACCTAAATTTTGCATTCCCAATATTTAGTTATGTGTCTGCCTCGAATACTGGAAAAATATCAACAAAAATATCAACACTTGTGGAAATTTTGGAAAACTCGAAATTTCTCGTTTTTCCAATTTCCACTCATGTTGATATAACTGTATATCAACACGGAAAATGTTTTATATTTGTTAAACATAGAATAATTAAATGTGTAAATTCAGCCATGTGTTATGGCTGCGATGTAATTTTTAATATACCTGTTATCAATCCCATATATCAATCAACTTGCGCGAAAAGCACTATCCACCTCCCGAGCATATGCTAATATCAAGTATTGAATCGTTCGTAGAATTACCCAAAGAAAGCTTAGACAATATGCGTACGTGCGTGACACTGATATTGGGCGAGTATTTATCCAAAGATATCTGGAATTTAAGAATTTCAAATTGTGGAAACGAAGCCTTGAAAACAAGTTTACAAAAGGAAGATTTGTTCGTGTTACCAACAAGCCGAGCATTGATATCTCGCAAGTCTGTGTCATTTTCTGAACTGAACAGCAACATCCAACTGTTATGTTTGTTGTTGGAAGGGATTGGAGTCTTCGCAATTGTACTACGTGAACATTTTAAAAGGTGCAGTTAAACTTATAACTTAATTGTTAAGGGACCGGGGGGGGGGGTTGTTAAGGGATCAGGGGGGTGCCACCGAAGAGAAATGTGTTTTTTTGTAAGAATTTTGCTGATCCAACCATTAAAAAGTCAGAATTTTTCTTTAGCGACCCAACCTCAAATATCAATTAAAAACTGAGAGATAGTGACTCTGATTGATTCATATTGCATGTATTGACATGCATACATGACGTTGACATTGGTTTTTATTCTTCAATATTTGAGTGAGTCATGCTTTGGAGATGACAATAATTTTTTATTACCCAACCCTTGAGTTTTTTCATTTACTCAACCTTTTACTAACTCAAAATTTGGTTTACCCGACCCTTTTCTCTTTGATGCCACCCCAAGCCATAAATAATGACCGGTCCCTAAGAGTAAATAGTTTCATGCCCTGCAAGGAAAGACCAAGTATAATAATGTGCATGATATTTCAAACGCGCGGTAATCTATAATGTAGGAATTGTTCTATACACTAAGCTGGCGTGGTTTGTGTCTGTACTTTACCTAAAAGTTCAGTGAAGATCAGTTGCGGTGCCCAAATGAAGTTAGGCATCGCATTATGTGTTAGTTTTCTGGTTTGGTTAGTTTGTAACGTGCTGTTTTGCACATGCTCCAGGGCACCGCACTATAGCGGTGCAGTGTCTGGTTCTTCGACATTTCACGCCAACTGCTAAGTTACACTAGCAACCTGCAACGCTGTACTAACTTTTTGGGTCTCCGCTCGAAACGTGGGAGTATTTTTAGTCTTTCAGGTAGTTCAGTCACATACTACGACAGGTTAAAGGCCGTTTTCCGTTTCAACCATATCTTACGGTAGGATTTTCTTTTGTGTCGCAGTCATTATTTCCACTCTATAGTGCTCAGGAAACAAAGAAATACGCTACGCTACCATACGGTTGAAGTGGAAAACGGCGTTATGCCGACCGAACACCTCGTTTATCTGTTCTCCAAGGCATCTTTTAAGCCAGCATCGCCACTGAAATTATAGGCTATAAGTATAATATAAAACGGTGTTCTTACAATTCCAGCTTGTTGTTAGAAGTCTTGTATCCATTGATGGAGAAACTTGGCAGTCGTAATGCAACCGTTAGTCACGTGGCATGCTGGAGCCTGGGTACGATAGCTGTGTGTTGTAAATACAAGTCAATTGAAGAACTTATTGCAAAAAACGTTGACTATCTTATTAATGCAATTTCACTTAACTTACGTCATATAAACCTAAACCCAGACACCCCAGCCGTACTGAATGCCATGCTACAGTATGGTGACAAACATTTAGTCCCATTCTTGGAAGATACTTTGGATGAAGTGCTCAGTCTTATTGACTACTCTGATGAACATTTTCTACTCTCATTGGTGAAAGTTTTAAATTCATTAACTGTTGCTATTTGCAAGTGGTTTCCTGTTCAAAAGAAAGAAAAGAAGAGAACTTCTGGAGAGAAATCAATGAAATGTGTTAAGGTAAGGAATAGTACCTGAAACTGCTAACATTGACATCAGCTGTGGCGGCCACTTCGGGAAATATTCAGGATGTGAATTTGAATTCCCTTGCATCTTGGAAATGCATAAATTTCCCAAAATGTTGAAAACTTGATTTAGATTATAAGTTGCTTTCCCATGTAAACAAAGCAATATTTTCGGACTAAATGCTCCTTTCCAGTTAAGGGTTTTACGTACGTATACGCACGGACAAGTTTAAATCTTTCTAAATTTTATATAAGTACTAATTACACTGTAAATTCAAAGGAGTCGTTTTGACCCCTTGGGGTCATTTCGGTCCCTTGTGTTGAAGGGTAGTTTTGACTCCTCGGAAGGGTCGTTTTATATAAGAGGGGCGTTTTGGCCCCACGATGGGCTAAAATGACTCCTCGAGGGAGTCGCGCGACCCTTCCTGAAGAGTACATTGGCTCCTTGAGGGGTAGTTGCTCGTTCATAGAAGACCGCGCATTTTTTTTATGAGCCCTCCCTCTTCTACGCCAGCAGCATACTTTGTAAGAGCACTTGCAAATCGACAATGATATATTTATATTGCTATATTTTTACTATTTATACTGCTGTTTGCAAAGTCGAATAAAATCCACTGGAGTTTGTCAGGTAGGATACAGACCGTCCTCTGGTAGTAGTCAGAGTAGAATATATAAAAAATCGTTGGACATTGGCCAGCCAGAATATACAATAGAATACAATTCCCCATGTGTGGCGACGAATATGGATTTTAAACCCTTCGTAATTCTTATACGAAGCTCCGCATCCACGAACTTTGCAAGCTACAAAAAAATTTGGATCGTGGCGATAGCATCGACCGTAATGATTGAATATTGTGGCAATTTCACGTGCTACAAATGGCACACGATTGCCTCTGCACATTTCACATTCTCGTCAAATTAATCTATTATGAGTTTTTATTTGCTGCGTAAATTAATCTGTAATTTGAACTTATGGAATGTTCTATTGCGGAATATAATTTGCGACAAGTGGAAGTTCCAGAATTTCAACTATTTTTTAACCAATTAACATGCTTAGAATATATCACGTGTTGTAGTAATTCGATCTGTTGATAACAAGCGCTATGTTCGATCTTTTGGGAGCAAACATTCAAAGAGTAAAGAATTTTTATTCAAATTTTCTACTTATAAAGTTCCAAAGACCTAATGAAATACATGGAATTTGTTTTCAAAGGTATGTCTCTTGTGTATTTACTCATTTGTATGCGGATAGTTACTTGATATAATGTATAGTTATGTTTTTAAATCGAAGGCCTGTATTTGTATTAATTCTTTTTCACCGAAGGCA